TTTTAATTTCACGAAATTTACATTCTAAATTTGATCAAATTTTACCCTCTTAATGAGTACATATAATAATATTATCCACATTAGACTTTTATATTTCAAGATATGAAATAAAATATATCAATTGTTTTCATGTTTTAAAAGCATCAAATAAAATATAAAATACTTTGACATTTCAAAGATATCAAATACTATATTTCAGAAATTATTAATAAAAAATTGTACAATGTGAGAGAACTAACGAAGTAAGGTGAAAATATCAGTGTCGTAAAAGAACTTGTATTGTAAAACCAACCGAGTCGACATAAGCCTACAATTTTTAATGCGATTTACTACACAGACTCATATTTCGGCAATAAATATCGATTATCGAAGCGAGCTTTCTGCTGCGGTGAACTGTAGTATATCGAGTGTCACGAATCTACATGATGCATGGACCGCAAAATGGGGTTGTGATATATTAAAGAAATATGATTATAATCACAAGCAAGGTTATATATTAAAAGTATATAAAATGAGTATGATACATGTTTACTTAGTAGTTTACCGATGATGTTTTATATAAAATAAGGTGAAGTGAGGTAAGTGCAAACTGGTTTTCGTAAAGTTGGTATTTAAACGTAAGTATTTTCCGTCTGTTATGTAAATACTTAACGCTGTCGATATCGAACGCTTTGCACAATTACTACTATTTAATTAATATTAACTAGGACCTTCATTTTCCTTGTATATTTCGATTTTGATAGGAAATTGTTTAAAATGTCAACTACTCTGCACTTTCCCCGAAAATAGGGTAAGAGTATAACTTGAAGTTAAATACTTTGAAACTTTATTTCATGTGCAATGGGGCAAGAGCAGAATTATTAACAAAATCTGCTATAAAATGCTTTTTACTGCATTATGCAAGTACTCTGTACCGTAAACAAGTACTCTTAGCTGAAATATAAAAGGGGATATAGTGAAACAAAACAAGGAAACAAACATACTAAATGGAGAAATTTCGCTCATATTGTAATAAAAATAGCCTGTATACGCACTTGCCCCGTTTACGAACTTACTCCACTTCACCTTACTTCATTATTCATGTACTTAATTGTAAAATATTTAATTATTCATGTATTTGTTGAATCTTCGATATTACACTAAAAATGTATTAATACAATAAAATACAGGATTGTTACAACATACATTTAATTCAATAAATGTATAAATTATTACTTGCAAAGATATATTATAATGTGTAATGTTCATTTGTATTTATTGCACATTCAAAACCAGTAAATGACTGGTAAAATTATGAGCATTGATGTTTAAAATTGTTAATATTAATAATATTGTAAATTCGTAAGAAAAAATCACACAACTTCAGCCTTGTTTTAAAGCCTCAAGTATTTTCAAAATCCTTAGTTAATTTCGTTAATTAATTTTAAATCCTTAGAAGATGTTTCTTTTAAATTGTTCTAATTCAAAAATTACGAATTTGTAAATTATGATTTCCCTTTGTAGAGTATTTGGAAATTTAGAAATTTTGAAACTTAGGGATTTGGTAATTAAAGAATTCAAAAACTTAGAAATTCATGCATTTAAATATTCAGAAATTTCAAAATTGAGAGATTCAGTTTAGACTTTCGTTAACTATTTCAAAATTGAGAAATTTGCTAATTTTCAAGTTACAAAATTTAAAAATTCGAAAATTTTACAATTTCATAATTTGTTAACCGAAAGTATTTTCACAAATACATAAATAACCTCAATCTAATTGTTCCGCAGTCTACAAAACGATTCTAAACTCCGAACAAGTGTAATTAATTTGCACCCTTAAATTCTACACAGACACATTTTTTAATTAAACTTCGACATTTTTTGCCGTAGCGAAAGAAACCCAAAAGTAGTTTCAGTTTGAAAAAAGAAGGTTAAACTATTTCGCTCAAAGTTTCGCCATATCGTGGAGTCGGTTCAATTTAACCTGCTTAATAATTCCAATCAGATCGGCCAAACAAGATGTTCAAGAGCATTAGCTTTTCACGATTTTTCGTGCCCCGAATCGTATCGGTCGAGGATGGCAGCCTTATCAAGATTTCGTTCGCTAATCCCGCCGAGTATACTGAGTCTCCACGCACCGAATTAATTAAACTTCTCACTTTGAGTTTGAACTACTTTTCTCCGGTTCGCATTTTTCCCTACTTTTAACGCTGCATACCGCATGCACTCCCTGTTTTCAACGGTATCCTTAATTAACTATAGTCTCGGCGCGGGATGTTCGTACGTAAGTAGTTCTTGAAATTCCGTTAAAATAATATTCACGGTTTACCGCGATAGTTAACCGGTCGCTGTATCGTAGAGTTTGTCGCTCGAACTTCATTTAAATAATTTGCATAATATAATGGATATAAACAGCCTGTAGAATACGGGCTGCGTCACGTAACTGGATTGGTTTCTAGCTCCTTTTTTACGTTATGCTATTCGATGAGTTTACTGTCCCTTTAATGGGGCAGACACCTTTACGATGAAATACAGAGTCAGAATTGAAATATGGATTTGTGGGTGGTGTAATCAAAAATCAAATAGTAGAAGATAAAGTTTGGGAAAATTCATTGAAGTTTGGATAAAATCTTCCAAGGCGGTAGACTCCGCTATTTGGTGATCGAGTGATCAAATTTCAGTACATAAGTCGCGACAAGATTATTTAATAAATGAATTTTATTTTTTTAACTAATATACCATTTATGTCGATGTGAGTACAGACTTTAAGGGGACTCCTCTGTTTTGCGATAAAGAGTGGTAAAATTAAGCAAACTATGTGTTTGTGGGGTGAAACTATTCACCTTTAGATAACAAGAGTTTTGGAGTGCAATGCGACTCATTCTAAAGAGGAAGTTCAACGCGGAGCACGCTGGTCATGGTTTAATGATATTACGTTAATATTCGGTAATACGAATGCTACATGAGCCAAAATTAACACAACAGCCGTGGATTTCAAGTATTTTATCATTGAAAGATTGTTTTGGATACAACCAGCGCTCGACCAAACATAACTATAGAATAACGAATTTGCCTTGTTTCGAATGAGAAATAGAGGTGAAAAGTTTGGCCCCGTCATTGCTTTCGCGTCTTTTTACCATATTATCGATAAAACAGTGCAAAATTCGTGACAGGTGTCTTTTTACCATATTATCGATAAAACGGCGCAAAATTCGTGTCAGGTGTGGTTGGACAGGTACAAATGAGGTGACGCCTGATTAGAACAATTGCCAACGTAAAACCAATATTCTCAAGCTGAACCACAGATCGAATCATAGTGTATATCTATGGATTTAATGATACATCGCAACTTGAACGATTTCTGTACTACAATTGCGATGATCTCTTTTCCAAATTTCTAAATTTCCAAAACCCTAAGTTTCCAAATTTACAATTTTCCAAGTTTTCAAATACCTAAATTGCTAAATTTCCAAATACTCAATGTTCCCAATTTCTAAATTTCCAAATTCTCCAAATTCCAAATCCTTCAAATTCTAAATTTCCCAAATTTCAAATTCCCTAAATTCCAAATTCCCTAAATTCTAAATTTCCCAAATTCCAAATTCCCCAAATTCCAAATTCCCCAAATTTCCCAAATTCCAAATTCCCCAAATTCCAAATTCCCCAAATTCCAAATTTCCCAAATTTAAAATTCTCCAAATACCAAATTTCCCAAATTCCAAATCCCCTAAATTCCAAATCCCCAAAATTCAAAATTCCCCAAATTGAAATCCTCAAATTATTAAATTTGATACTCAATTCCCAAATTTCTAAATTGAAAATCTCAAATTTGAGATTTCTAAATATCCAGCTGTTTGACCTTTAAAATCTGTATTTATAAACTAAAAATTTGTATATATCTATATTTCTAAATATATCTCTTTAATATTCAAGTTTTCGAATTATTAAACTTCTAACCTTCTAAGTATTCCAAATATCAACGTTTTTAATCTCCATAAATTTCTTACATCTCATATTTGCGTGTACCATTCACATGTTACAATTAAATTTGCAACTTTCAACCATACAAATTGAATTTTAACATTTTTCAAAAATTACCTGTTAAAATAAACAAAATTTCACCATTTCATCGCATAAATGTTAAAAATATTTCCCCATTTCACATTTGCAACATTATAAAATTCATAACAGTAATTCATGTACAAGAGAATATGAATTACACAAGTTAATTTGTACTCGTTAATTATTTATCATTTTTCAAGGTGCTCAGAAAATACTCAAAATGCTATTATGACACGGAATGTGCTTAAATTGTTTATAAGAAAGTTTTAAAAAAGAATCCCTAATTGCTTTACATTGTTTTTTCTTTAAGTTCTTGCATACTTTCGTGTTGATCTAAAATCATCTTAACGTAGCGAGTTTTATACTCTTTAAAAGTTTAAGCTGACGCTTTCGGTTTTTTTTTCGGTAAGAGAGTTTGTAATTTTGTAGAATAACTTGCCAAATAAAGGTAAGAATAAACTTTTATTGAAAGTAACTTGTTTCGTGTTTTATTTTAGTACTTGATCGAAAACATTGATACAGTTCCAGATTAATTAGGTGATATTAACTATCATTGTTAAAATATATGAGCATTTTTTTATGAAAATTTTCTTGTATTTTCAGAAAACATAAGAAATTATATAATGACTTCTTATTTAAACTAACAATAAGATTAACGTTTTAACAATTTTTATGTTTCAAAAGTAAGAAAATATAATTTAGTATCTCTTTATCTGTGTTATTATATAAAATACTATATTATATATTATATTATAATATATTACATGGTTATTTCACTAGCAAAGTAAGTAGCGGTCATTTTCTAAACGAACATAACACCCTTTATCACGCTCTTAAAATTTGAAAACCATTATATCGCGCAACCATCGAAATAATAAATGAAATTCCAGCCAATAACAATTCATCTTCGGAAAACAGAGAAAATTTTTTTACCCGTTCTTCGCACCTTTTTGTTTCAGAAATGGTTTATGATTTACTGGAGGCAGCCGTGGCATCGACAGACGACAATAATTTGTACATCGACGACGGTCTCGATGGATTTCCGGCTTTTGGTTTCCGACCTGGCTCTGAAGTTAAACAACCCTATCGATTATATCTTCCTGAAAAACTGCCCGCCGAGTTCACTTTGGTCGCAACATTCAAACCGACATCTTTCAGGACCAGTTATCTCTTTGCGGTTCTTAACCCTTTCGAAACGGTGGTGCAATTCGGAATCCGAATTTCGGTACGTATTCAATCTGTGTGAAATTTAGAAATTTAATCGAGTTATTCATATTCGAGATTGGTATTTGAATGACAAAAATTCGACTTGACAGTTGTATGAAGCTAGTTCTAAAAATAATTTAACACAATATATATTTTTAATTTTTCTGTACTTGAGAGCAAGAATATAAATAATCTTGTTATTTGTGAAACAAAAAAGAATTTTTAATTTTGTCCAAATTTTTGATGAGTTGAATTTTAGGAGCTACTATAATAACCATTTGACATATGAAGGTTCACCTTAAGTTTCGAAATAATTAAACTTCTAATTTGCATTAAGGTAAGAACACCAGTGGTTCACACTGTACCAGTACTTGACACTTTTACAAAAAAAGTAAATAAATAAGGAAACCATAAGTTCGAATACATCAAAGACCACAAGTTGGAATATATCAAACCTTATTAATCTGTATACTGTCACGCTTCGGTAGCTTAATTGCGAATCATTGTGCATATCCGCCATTCAAAAATGTAATAGCAACTGATTAATCAAACTTGCGCACGGCTCTTACGATTTTTCAGTGTTTTCTTATATAAATTGCTAGGGATTTGGTTAAAACGTAAGTATTGCAAGTTTGTATTATTTAATCATTGTGAGTAAAAAAGGCATTCGTTTATGTTGTTTGAAACTTAAAAAGAGGTTTATTTATTAAAATTGACAATAAACAATGCTAAATTGTCTAAATACACCCGTGTCAACTACTGAAACTTGTAATGGTCTATTATTCAGTAGTTGACATGGGGTGTCAACTATTAAATTACTACGTGTCTACTGATTTTGTTCCTCTGTCAATTTTGAGATGCCTACGGTAATTTCAGAAATTATACAGAAGGGATTATGCGAGCAACTGTGGAAGATGTCCGGCTCCATGAAATTTCGTATAAAACGGCAACTAGGAAATTTAGTGTTCCGAGGGTAACTTTAAAATACAAGCTTAAAGGCAAACATCCAATTAAAAGAAAAATGGGCCCAGCCAGAGTATTGACTGATGCAGAAGAATGCAATAAAAAACTGATATGAGGATACCTCCGATATGAGGAGTGTTCGAACTCTTCATACTAAATATTTATTATTAACTCTTCATATTAACCCTTAATTATTAAATATTTTTTTATGAACTTACTCAAGAATAATCTTTTTTAAATGTTCAAAAAAATTCTGTATTCACACATTATCAAGACTAATCATTAAAAGGATGTCAATTACTAAATTTTCTGTTTTCACTGGGTGTTGAAACCCCAGACTATTGAATCAAATTTTACGTTTAGAAGAAAAAAAGAAAAAAATTTACAACCGCCATCAGGAATGAATACTTGTTGTAATATAATAGAAGAATAGTTTATGCAGCGACTGCTAATCATAAATTTTCCATAAAGTGAACTTAACCTGAGCTATATGAACAAATAGACAAAAAATTCCTTAAAGTGTCAACTACTGGTACCTTTACTTTAAATACTTGACAAAATACGTAACACAGAAAAATTACGTGTCATCACAGAAATTAAGTTTGTCAGAAAATTACTATATCTGACATGGCGATCAAAATCTATGTGGGCATTAGCTAACATACGAACCACAATAAGTGGATAAAAAGTCATCCCTTTCAGGAATATTTTTAAACGAACATTAACGATAATGTATAATATTTTTATGACATTAGTGATATATATTATCTTAAAATTAACAATAATGCAGAATATCATAAGACATGAAAACTTTTTTGGGACAATATATAAATTTATGTCCCAGTTCGTTAGTAATTCACGTTCGTTCAGACACTACATCTATCGCTGACCCACATACTTGTTCATTCTCTCGATATATGACTGGGAATCGGAGAGAACGAAGGATCCTGACTGTAAAGTCAATCAAGAGGTCGACAAAAATTTCCAAGTAGAATTGGTCGATTTATAAGAAATGGGCTCTGACGATGCAATAGGGTTTTAAGTCGACACTCCCGATCGACGAATGAAGAGCGTTTCCTCATGTTTCCCAATCCCTTCGAGGCCATTGTTGCAGCTCTCGGGTCTTCAAATTTCTTCGAGATCTTTCACGTTTCTCGCGGCACCGTTTCCACGAGTAATACGATGTCTACGTGTCCTGCACCGGCAATAGCCCCTACCGTTTTTGACGTTTTGGGATACCTACTATTCCTATGGGAATAGGACCGCGAGAAAACAGTTTGGTTTTTGAATCTTTTAGTGTTTTCTGTCTATTGTCGTTTGGAGACAATTTCAAGACTGTTCTGATAGCAGGGATCATTTCTTATTGAATGATGGGTTAGGAAGGACAAAAATACCTATTTTTTTATGAAAATACAGATTAATGAACACTTATATTTAAATTGAAACTATAATACATAATGAATAATCCGTGAACAGCTTATGCAATGATTCTTTATCGCGATGATTTTGATAAAAGTTTCTTAATAATTTTCAAACCTAACAAAGTAAGGAATGTAGTCTGTGAACCTTGAGTTCAATAGATATAAGTTAATTTTTTAATTATTAATTGGCTAAACATCTTATGGCGGCAGTCCTTGTAATATTTTATTCATAACATTCGACAAGTACAGACAAAATACAAGTTTGAGTATCAGAACCTATCAGTCTGTTTCTCCAATTCATTTCACGTTAGACAGAGCTACAGTAATACGACTTTTTTATATTACACAATGAAACCTCTTCTGTGTCACAAATTAATAGATAAAGTTTCTAATATAACAAAGTTAATTGCTATTAAAAGTTTCTATAAGAGGAAAAAACTTGGTCCAATTAATAAAACAAATTTCCGGTAAAGCAAAGTTAATTGCTATTAAAAGTTTCTAGTAAGAAGAAAAAACTCCCTCCGCCATTTTACTGTTCGCAAGTGTCTAAATTAATAAAACATATATTTGATAATTTATTTCTTTCTTTAACACAGCCTGTGTTATTGTAAATAATTCTGAAGTTTAAAAATTATTGTAAATAATTCTGAATAATTTAAAAAAATTTTTAAGGGGAGAGAAAAATGAAAAGAATGTTATTTTAAAGGTGAATGAGTCATAATTTCTGAAAAACTGCTAAAATATTATAAGGCTTATTTTATCATGGTACTTACATTATGCCTTTTATACAAATCACGTAGTCTCTCCTTGAACATAGTCATCAGGAAGGTTGGCAACGACTCAAGTTTAAAGGATGAAGCCATATCCTAGAAATTGGCACCCTTAGAGATATTCAAGGGTAAATTATTAAAGAGATAAGTATTCTTGAAGATAAAATTATAGTTTATGATGCATATTTGCATATTTTTTTGTGTAGGATGGCATAGTGGATTAATTTTATATCTTTGATGATGAGAATTGTTAATTAAGAATGGTGTGTGCGATGAAGGCAGTTGAAAATATACGTTTTATGTATCTTTAAGGTTTAATGAGAATAATTAAAACCATCTCTGCATTTCTGTATGGTCAATAAATAAATACTGAACGCTATATTTGAGTAAATATTAAACTTTCGAATACAAGATAGGATTAATTAAAAATATTATCTTAAGTATTAAAATATAATTTCTTTACCTACACCTGATTTTGTTTAACAACTCTCTAACCTCTTAAAATGTAATCTTCCTTACATAATCAATAAATAAATAATGAACACTATATTTGACTAAATATTGAATTTTATTAAAACATTATCTCGAATATTAAAATATAATTTCTTCACCTATAATTGATTTATTTCGACTTTAACAATTGTTCAATTTAAACCCATATGTACACTACCGTCCATAAGTATCCGGACACTTGGTTTCGTTACATAAAACACAGTTGTACGAAAGGTATTTAGGGTTATCATATCATTTGTAATAATTATTATTATCGTTTTTGAGGTGTCATAACATAATAGAATTAATTTTTAAGTACAACTTATACAATGAGAAAGTAAAATTCATGTCCAGAAGTACAAAGTCCAAATTTGTGAATCCAATGAAACGCTTTCGATTCTAAAAAAAATTTTAATTTCTACTGTGTTTCATTTGTATGGTGTAGAACGTATTTAGAGGGTTCTTCGATATGTTTCAAGTGTTTGTAAACTGTTGGTAGATGTTTAGGTTCCCTCAATGGAGATAAGAATGAAGGTAACACAACGCATTCGGTTTAGTTCGTCTGAAGCTTCTTTTCCATCTAGATATGAGTTCCAAACGAAAATTATTAATCGAAAAACGTTTCAGTATTCTGACCTTCGCAGAAAAAAAAATCGATTTTAGTTACTGTTGCAGATATTTGAATAACTTTCATGCAACGCGAATGCATATTTCGCTTGCGTCCGGATACTTATGGACGGTAGTGCATATCCAAAAGTGTTTTGCTATGTAACCAATAAATAATGTCATTTGACTAAATATTGAATTTTCTGTGGTACAGGATGGTCCAGGAACCAATCAAAACGTGTCTCTGATCTACACAAATTCCGACCAGCACTCTCATTCAGAGGAGGTAGCAAAATTCACGGTGCCAAAATTGACGAAAAAATGGTCGAAAATCGTAATCAGAGTGTCGACAACCGACGTCACCTTGTACCTGAACTGCCACGAGATGGCGAAACAAAGAGTGACCAGAATCCCCATGGAATTAGTGTTTGACACCGCCAGTACTCTATACATCGCGCAGGCTGGTCCACATATTCAAGAGAGATACGACGTGAGTACATAAACAGCTTTATCATCGATGATTCATGTTGGAATTAATATAATCGTTGTTGAAGCGGTGCTGAACGCGGTTGAATCTATTCCGATTTTCGATAACAAAACCGCAATTTGAATATCGTTCGGTGAACGAATCGAGTCACTTGCCGGTATGAATCTCGTTTAGCTCCAAATATTATACATGCATAAATTTCAAATCACCCGGAATATTTATGTGCTCGCTTTAATTCATCCTGCAACTGGTACACGATTTATTCGACCACGTGTCAAATACGCGGAGTGCGTAACTTCATTGCGCGCCATTTTAAAAACCTATCAAGAATTCTCGCGTTAGTTCTATTTAATTAAGTAAATTATAGCTTTATTTTATAGCAGACTTTCGCAAAATTTGACTTCCTTTTAATTTTAATTTGAGAAAGATTTGAAAAGAAATTTTAACTTTTAGAAAAATTTTATACATAATGAGCAAGAAATTCTCGCGTTAGTTCTATTTAATTCAGTAAATAGATAGCTTTGGTTTATAGCAAACTTTCACAAAAATTGACGGATTTTTAATTTTAATTTGAAAAAGATTCTAAAACAATTGTTGAGCTTTTAGAAATATTTGTTATTAAATAAATAATGAGCAAGAAATTTTAGAGCAGAATTGTTGAAAGAGCATTCGAATAAGTAAAAATATTAAGCTAATGCAAATGTTGACTCCATATTAAATTTAGCAGGTGACCCTCTCTGACCCAGTTTCCTGATGAATTATACATTTTGTTTGCTACATGGTATAAACGCCCTTTACCTGCTGAAATTAAAAAAATTCACATGAATATTTTTAATACATACGGTAGAGGAGTTTATTCAAATTGTTTATGCAACAGTCCGTATGGAGTTATCAGATTTTTAAGGTGATTTAATTGTTATTTTCATGTCGAAGTGATATTACGTGTTTTGTTACCAAATTTAAAAAAATAATTTATATTATTATTTTTTTGTTAAAGGCATAGCTTATACTTTATAGAGGTTATAGTAAAAAATAATTTGTTTATGGATTTATATTAGTAACGATTTTATTATTTTATTTTGATGAGGGAGAAGTTTATTTTGGAATTTGGAATTTAAGTAATTTTCAAACAACTTTGAAAAAGGAGGAGTTTTTCAATTTGCTTGGTCTTTTTTTACTTAATGCTAGAGGGTCACCTTAATTTCTTAGTCAAAATAATTAAAAATACAAATTGAAATGATGTACTATTTTAAAGAGAAATATTATTTCAGTAATGAGAGCGTTTCAGCACCGCTTCTGTTTTTGAATAAGTATTAAAACTTTCTTCACGAGTTTCGTCAGTCGCATGAAAACTGATAAGCGATTATTAAGAAATCACAAAACGCAATGGTTAATTAAAATGTGCACACGAAGTTGCACATCAAACGTGCATGTTTTAGCAGTTTGATTGCTAATTGATTAAGATGGTGAAAAATTTGAGAAAATGATGTGAGATATTTTTGTATGAAGTACATTGAAATTTTGTATTAAATACATTGGCGTAACTAGGGTATATCTTTAAAATGATCTATATGTGAAGTAATTTGAAAAATTAGAAATTTGAGTGTTATAAACTAGGAAGTGTGAAGAATTTTTACATTTTTAAATTTTTAGGAATTTGATAAATTAATAATTTGCAGATTTGGAAACTTAAATTTTGGAACTTTAGAATTTTGAAAAATTTGACAATTCTGAAATGTATAAATCTCAAAAAATTGAGAAATTTTGAATTTGCAAAACTTAAAAATCTCAAACTAGGGAATTTAAAAATTTAAAAATTTGGGAAACTGAAATTTGTAAATGTTTTAAGGTCTAAAATTTGGAAATTTCAAATATGCAAAATTTTTTAATTTTGCGAAAATTGTAATTTCTAAAATGTATAAATTTCAACCCTTAAAAGCTTGAATACTTGAGATTTCTGAAATTTACAGATTTGTGTATTTGAAGTAAAATTTCCAAACTTCAAGCTTGCAAGATTTCGAAATTTCAAATGTATAAAATTTACAAATTTTAAATTTGCAGAATTTCAAAATATCCAATTTACAAAATTTACAAATTTGGGAAACTTGAAATTTCTAAAATTTTTAAAGCTCAAAATTTCTATATTTCAAAACTGCGAACTTCAAAATTTTGGGAAAATTGTAATTTCATGAAATTTCCAAAAGCTTGCCAAATTTCCAAATCTCAAATTTACAAAATTTGTAAATTTCAAACTTGCAAAATTTCAAAAATCTCCAAATTTCTACTACTTTGAAAAAAGATGAGCTATAAATCTATTAACCTGGTTACGCCACAAGTACAATATAAAAGTTTGAAGTTTCACTCACTCTAGTGTTCAAAAAAAAATTTACCATTACTCAGTAGATATTATACCTAATATTATAATATTATTAACACTAGAACTACCAACCAGTCAAAATGACTGGTTTCAGATTTCTCATTTTATATTACAAAATTTTATTATTGTGGTTTTATGGAAATGTCTGTCATATTTTGTTGAGGTAAAAACAAGTTCTATATGTTAATTGATGCTTTAGTATTTATTTATTTCCCTCTTCATTTTATTTTTCATTCTTCAATAAACGAGCATTTAATGTCGGTAGTTCTAGTGTTAATAATGTTATCGAAATTATTTCGTCCACATCTCGATATACTAAAAATACACGAAATGACACCAAGTTGTCAAATTACACTTTCCTCTCTCACATAATTATATCCTACAGCAGGATGTTATTACTCGATAAAACTTTATTATGTCAAATAGCCATCAATTACTTTCATAAGTTTATGGAGTCTGCAGCAAAAGACATTTATTGTCATCCTAACCGACAGGTATGTAAGTAATCAAATGTAATTAATCATAATTTTAAGCCCATAATGTTCGAAACGTCGATTTTCTAGCTGCATTTCAAATCGTCGCTTAACGATAATTAGCTTCCATGCTAATATAGCGTTAGCGTCGGAGACAATGATTTACTTCAGTCCTTTGTTAATTAGCCGCTGACGATAATTGTTGCAATCTGGCGCATTGCAATATTTCGTTATAATTATATAATAGCACACTACCCACCAACGGGAAATTATACTGTCGCGATTAATATGATTCGATTTATTTACAATATTAATATGTTTCTCGGATTTCCATCGTTTTTATGGATTTTCATAATCTGCAATATTAATACATGGTAATGATCTTACTTGTATTTCCTGCATTAGTATAAATTATTTTATTCTTAATTATCTTTGTTACTTCCACGTAGTAACTCTGTTAAAAAAATACATCATTTTTAAATCATTTTTAAGTAATCAAAATAATCACAACATTTTTAATTAAAACAATTTTGAATTTTAAAATAATCAAGGTAAAATAGATTATAACAATCTCTCATTTTAAAATAATGAACATAATTTAAATATTTATATTATAATTAACGAGTTTTGTAATTAACAAAATTGTCACAGTATTTTGTAATTAAGAAGTTTTAATAAAATTACCAAAACCTTATTTCAAATTTTATAATTATGTTTCATTTTTTCGTCAAACTTAAATAGAAAATATTTATTTATATCCCTAAACTGTAAGAAATATTTACTTATCAATATTTCATTATTAGTGTAATTTAGGATGTACTTTTTAGGAATACATATCATCATTAAATATCTAAACGAAATCGGAATAAACGCGAACCGAAGTTGGCCGAGCATCGATAAATAAATAAAATTTTTATCGGAATTAGGTCAGCGCGACGATTAAATCGTGTATATAGTAATTGCTACTGAACCGATATTAATGCAATTATCCAATCCTGTTTCCCATCTCTTTTGTTGTCCCTCTAGTTTTATTCAACAATTCTTTTTTTACAGTTTGTGAAAATTAGAATCCCCACTGCAAATTATATTTTTATAGAAGACTTTTGGAAGCCATATGAAAATCTCCATGCTTCTCTGCTAACCATTATGGGTGACCAGACAGTTATTTGCAAATATCTCGATAACTATCAGTTCTATAACAAAACCGGTTATTACAAGTTTTGTAGTCTAGGAAATTGTCTACAAAAAGAGTTCTGCGAGTTTTTTTCGTAGAACTAACTATTTTTGTGTACTGTGACGTACAAGATTTGAACCTTCAGACTTCTGACGAGAGAAATTGTAAACTTGTAACTCATTCACAGAATACGGTTATTCTTATGAGAAAATTGTATAGAAGCTTTTTCATAGAGAATTTCTTAAGCTTTAAATCTTGTAATAAATATTTTTGTCGTAGAATTAATAGTTAATCAGATATTTGCGAATAACTGCTTCTTTCTTGACTTTCAACACTTTGTGCTTCACATCAAGTGGTTTTGATACATTAAAACGGTGAAGTAAAGGTTTACACATATGCAAGTACATTTTGCTTTGAATTATTCCTTAATCTGGTCATACTTTTGTATAATTTCCCTGAACTATTTCCTTTTTCATATCTACTATTGATTTTATTAAAACTTATAATATTCAGTAAGATGTAATACTTCTACTTTGAGTATTCTATAAAATCGCAGGATGATTTGAAAGTATTAATCATAAAATGATCATAGTAAGTAAAAAAAGATTCAACCTTTCTAATTTGATCTAATAGTCAATTATTATTTTACAAGGAAAAAAAATCTAAAGGTTCTAAAATTATGTGGGTATATTACACCAAAGTTTCCACATTTCATTTTAAATATTCTGGGATGTGACAAACCGAAATTTGATGAATAAAAATATTGCGACTTGATAACGTTTCCGTGTAATTTCTTTTTAAACGCAAGAACAATCAATCGAAGCGATTAATCCGCCATTTAATTCGGCAACGATGATTTATGCAATATTCCGAACGATTTCGGCTAGCCAGAATTTGATTGAAAATTTATTTTCCAAGCGACTGATTTCACGATGTTTCAAAGGGTGAGAAGTGAAAATAAAAATGGAATGCTGTCTCG